GAGAACCGTCGCGCTACATTTAGTTTAGGAATGTTGTTGCTACAACTGTTGAGGTCCCAAAAAGCTGCATTGATTGATATAAGATCACAGCATGCTTATAATGCCTATGAATTGAAGGAAAGAAAGAACAGCTAGAAATAGACTGCACAGTGTTTAATTAATTATAACCCAAAATATAAAAAGCTCTGTCAGTTAAGATCATTCAATAATGAGCTAGGGTCTTACAAAAAGCCTTGCTTTGCTCACTCATTCTATCAGCTCTTCTCCTTTGATGTAAGACATAATATCCTGCGCATAGTAGTAGTGCTAGTACAGCTACAACTCCACTAACTGTCACTCCAATTATCATTCCTAGGCTCACTAACACCTTCGAACTTGAGGACATCTCTGAATCCATGACAAATTTGGTATAAGATTCATTAGAGAGAGAGAGAGAGGGAGAGCTCAAATTATTCTACTTCATTACACCCCAGACTCTTCTTATATATAGTAACAGAAGCTTAATTTTGATTACCTGAAAAAGTCCCATACTGTGAACCGATGAGGAAGTATGACTGTACGAGTCCTAAGGCCTGGAAGTTGAGCACATACACCAAGTCCGAAATCCCTGATCGATTGAAACGGTCTTTTCCAGAAGGAAACACTTCGAGATCCAAGGTAAGGAAACACTTCGAGATGTGCCATGGAGGATATAAACCACCACCCAACTGAAGTTTGTTAACTTATTGGGCATTATCTTTAAGAATATGTTAACAAGGTCAAGTTAGGTGGCCATGGGCCCATGGCTAAGCCCTCTCTAAATGTTTCATTTTCCACTTTAATGGCACTCCAATCTCCAAATAGTGATTCACTCAACCACATCAATACTGGAGCATTATTTGTTGTTTGGAGTTCGATCTACATTGATCTTGAAAACAAGATTGGGAGTATTGGTAAATGATAGTTGAGTTTCCAAATATATATATATATATATATATATATATATATATATATATATATAGTGGAAAGTGAATAATTCTATTGGGATCTAGCTTATTATTAAATGGAAGTGATCAGTGTATCAGTTGACTTAGGTGAACCTATGTCCTATCATAACACCAGCCTATCCAACAATGATCTGTTTGGGTAAAGAATGGCTCTAGAAAATAAATCCAATCCAAACAAGGAAGCTTACATAGGAGAAGAGTAAAACAACATATGCCTAATGGTGTCTCGGCATTCACTATACAACAGACATGTTAGGGATGCCTTGGAAGTCCAGTTCTCACCATCAAATACAACAAGAACAACCATAAAGCCTTAAAGCCTAGATAATTCAAGGTGGATGATGTTGTGTGATCCAACATGATCTAAACATGCTGTAGATAATAGTCCTACCAATTGGATAGAACCGAGGTGGAAGGATAGAGTCGTGTACTGAGGATTTGCAAGCAAAGAGAAAGTCAGAGGCCTAAGGACGAGGTCCCCGGGAAGATACTCCGACGCTCAAGTCAGTAATAAGGAGAAGTCGGTCGGGTTAAGCTGTAGAAAGTGAGCTAGTCCGAGCCAAGGAGAACAGTAGGAGAGCAAGAGGGCTAGAGAATCTAGAGAGTTGAAAATCCTTTATTGTGAGAGGAGAAGTGGAGATGCCTTTAAATATAGGTGAGTGTCCATGTTGTAGTCGGATGGGCTCCTTGCGGGGTTAACGAGATGAAGCTTCTTGTCAAGGTTTTCGGTAGGCTCCGCCTTCCCTGACAAGGGTGCTTATCCTCAGGAGGCAATGCTTATCTATGTCTATCCGGGACTCCACTTCTCTCTGAGGTCTTTGGTGACACAGTTATCCAAAGGGAGGATTCCAACCACACGTGTAGTGTTCTAGAGAGTTTGGCTTGTTAGACAGTTTTGTATGCCCTTAGCTTCAATCAGAATGATGTACTTTATGAGTTTATTGTAAATGAATAAAAGTGCATATGTGATTCATGCTCCCTTGGTATGTTTCTGTATAATACCCTTAAACTGGACACTTAATGAGACTCGTGTTAGTTTAGAATGTTCACAGCCAATGG